TTTATGTTTTTTATATATACTAGAATAAATGACAGAGAAGTAGAAAGCTCGTTGAAACGTTGCCTAGAACTGCAAAAAGCACAAATAGTCTTAGGGCCTATACGCACCAAGTGGTTTAACGCAATGCCGTCCGACGTCCAATCTGCGGAAATCAAAACATTTTACAAGTCACCTACTGACTTAACCGTCGCATAACCGCTGCGGTTATTTTTTAGACGGTAAAGCACTTAGAGCGTATGGGGCCTTAGTTTGAGTGGACAAAGAAAGGCTAAACATATCTGTTTATGACTAAAATCAATCAGTGAAATCAATAAAGAAAACGCTTGTGATGTCCAAGTACTTTTATGAAAATGAATTTTAAATTTTTATCAACTCGAAATTTAAACGCCCACACATGTAGTTGAAATAAAATATCCTCTCTCATATTTCGTACTAATATACTTTCATGAATTATTCCTTTAATATAGCCTTCATCTAAATGTGTTCATAAATTTTCTTGTGCGTAAAATAATGTTCGCTCCATGAATACAAAAGACGTTCAAATGGAACTGTCTTCTGTCTGCTCTTTCAATGATTCTGCTAGTATTAAACGCTTTGTTCCCTATTAATGGCTATTCTTAAATCGTGGCATTGTTGTCTCGTCTATGCTATATAAAACACTAGCTGTGTCAGCGACTTCGTCGTCGTATAATAGTTATTTTTGGGCATCCAAAATTGTTTTTGCAAACCTCCTCTTTATCTTTATAAATTTAAACTCTTACCGACGACGTCGTCGTTCTTGCAAGTTAATCTTAAAAGATAGACATATACCGTCGCGGACATTTTTTAGATCATTTAAATAGGAATCATTTTCACATTTTTTGGTATCTTGAACCGTTTTCGCAGCGTACTCCGTTTTTCCACATCTCTGCCTATTTTTTGGCTCCTATTATTCACAGTGCCCTCCTTGATACACAAAAAAAAAAATCAACTCAATCCAGTAGCTTCTGATATTAGCGCGTTCAAAAATCTCAATTATTCAAGTTATAATTGGCTTAAAACGAAACCGAATTTCGACCGAATATTCGGTTTATTTAATAAGGGACTTTATTTATAAATCATAAATATATCTTTATCATAAAAACTAATTCGATCTCGAGACAAACGCAATAGCTAGTATTTTCATGTTATTCACAATCATAGTTTTAGTGAACTAAGGGGCTACAGAATGTCACTTATGAAGTTGATTTTCGTTTTAGAAGATTCACCTCACCGTACCTTAGCGTAACTTTTAACGTAAAACCAAGTTCCCTCGCCGGATTACGCGAAATTCTCAATTAACTCTCGGGGACTAATATGGTGACTTCACGCTTTGAAGCCTAAGTGACAGCCTTCGTAGAGGTTAAACCAAGATTAACTTTGGATTGTTTCATATTACACGGAGAAGAAAGAACTACAGATATTCAATAAAGAACTTACTATTTTTTTAATTATTTTATCTATTTATACGGATCACTAGCTGGACTGATATTGATCGTTGGTTTCTTTTAAATAAAACACTTTAACGGTTTAAAACGCGATGTATATTTATTATTCATTTTATTTTCTATTGGGGACACCTGTGGTAGGACGGGTGATCAGCCCACGTTATCAGCCGACCATTTCACCCATTTCCCCATCTCCTCCTTGCAGAGGTTTTGGGTCATCCAACTCCCCCCGTGCCCTCTTCAAGCCTTCCGGTTAGCTTGCAGAATCTTATTATTTATATTAGTTAAACTTATTTTAAATTATTTTAACTACAGCCCGGAGAGACACCAAACTCAAACGTGACCACGCCGACCATCCGGAACGTCGGGCCGTAGTTAAAATAATTTTCAAATAAGTTTAATTAATATTATATGTCGCTTTTTAAAACGTTAAAGTGTTTTATTTTAATGTATACTACGCGCGGTGCTTTCTTGTTAAAATTAATTTTTAACTCATCCTCGTTTTATGTAGTATTAAATGTAACATATCACATTCAAGCCCAATAAGAATATGGTGTCATTAAGATGATAATTTGTTTAGTTTCTTTCTTCGTTTGTATTACTTTAATTATGATGAGAATTAATAAGACTATCGCATTCATTGTTAAATACCGTTCGAGTCGTGGAGTGGACACGTCCCTATGTCCATTTCTTGGATCGATTTCTGCTTGTATTTCAATAGAATTTCGTGTCAAATTCTCTCGATATTCGAACCGACAACCTCTTGTTCTTAACGCAACGCCTTAAGTCATTATGCCACAAACAAAGCCAAAGAAATGCAAATGGAATTGAATCCAATATTCTAAGTAAATCTATTCCCACACGTTTTATATATAAAACTGTTACTTTGTTTCCTGTACAGAAATAAACGGGAAAATGAGAAAAACCCAATATCACTTTAGCGCTTTACTCGCATTTGAATGACCCGATTTTTCACAGAGATCGTATTAAATGGATTCTTTTAAAGAAAATGAAAGGTATCAAAATGTAGTTGCTGCGAAGAGGCTCAATTTGAGAATCATCAAACTCAATTCATTCATTAGGAGAACGTTCAAATTCAAATAGGGAAAAATCTTTTCCCTTTACGATTGGCTATTGAGGACAATTTCCGGGGAAAATGATAAGGTCCTGTCAATTTCGATCAAAACTTCTACACCTTCGGATAAACATGTTTGTGGGAGGACGTCTATACCTACGAGTATACCTACATTTTTGAGCGCCTTTCAAAATTTATTTGCTACTTCGTCAGCTCGTCCTTTGCTAAAGCTCAAGCAAGGAATTCTTTTTGTATTGTCTTGTAGCTACATGAAGAATATATAGGATTTGTCTAGATTATAATAAGACTAGTTTATGTTTTTGAATGAATAATTAGTCAAATTTAAATGCCTGGATTTTTTAAGTAAGTACTGCTAAATTTTTGAACTTTATAAAAATCTACTTTTGGTACTATAGAAAAATCGCCAGGCCGTTAAATTTTGAAACTATATTTGTTAAAATTATTAAAAACCATTTTACATTTTCGAGCTACTGTAAAAATATTATATTGAAAATATTTAAATACGAAATATTATGTCAGTTGACTTATTTAAAATTCAATTCAACTATGGCCTAACGTTCCGACTGCTTTGTAGCAACCGTAGTCAAGTATTTTCCACGTTTTAAACTATCAAAAGTAATTGAAACGTGATCTGCTCCTGTAAACAAAAACGACACTTAATCTATACTAATATATTATGAACCTGAAAAGTTTGTTTGTTTGTTTGATCGCGCTAATCTAAGGAACTTGTTCGAATTGAAAAAATATTTCTTTATTGATTAGAACATTTATCGAGGAACACTAATAGCAATAACATATTACGATTAGCGAAGAAATAGCGGAAAATGCGGTACTAATGGGGAAATTTAATCATCTTTGTCGGTTTCCGATGCGTACGCTGCGAAAATGGTTTGAGATAAACAAAAAATATGTATGAGAAAATGATTCTTCTATAAATTATAAAAAAAACGTCTATCTCTTAAGATGAACTCACAAGAACGACGGGATACGAACGACGGGACGCAACCGATGACGTAGGTTAGGACAGTTTGCAAAAACAACTTTGGATCCCCAAAATAACTAATCTACGCGGACAAAGTCGCTGATTCAGCTAGTATTCAAATATATACAACTGAAGAAAAGAGTCTCATAACGTTAATTTAAATAAGAGAGTGTATTATTAGACATTACCCGTTTCTTACACCCACTTATTTTTTATTAAGCTGGGAGCGAAGGCGTATAATTAAAAGTATTTTTAGACCTTACGATTATTGCTTCTTTTAACACCTCGTAATCTTTACGTTAAAATAGGAAGTTACGATATCTTTATATCGTCTAAGAAACGATGACGTCGTACTCTGATGAAAATATACTTTTTAAAAACTGGTCTAGCTAGGTTGTGTTGGAAACCTTTTGTAACGTCCTTATACAATATGCGGAACTACCCCGCATTCGTTAGTTGAAAGACTGCGTTACATAGCGTAAGCCCACTGCGTTTACAAGAAATTAGGATCATATCAAACCACAGACTCATTATTACCTATAAATATTAGTAATAGGGACTCAGCACTAACGTTATAACTTTCACTGCGTCGAAAATAAACAATCCAATTTAATATTTGAATAGACTCATACATTACCAAAGTCCACATTCACAAGTGCATAGATAACGGAATAACTGATAAGCTTATTGATAAAACCTTCTAAATTATTAATTTTACTTACGTTACTTATACAAGTACAAATGAAGTAGTTTATTTATTGTTCGCCAAAAGCGAATACAGACAAATTAATACATAAATATTTGTTATATCCCCAGTACGGGTAGTGTGGATATAACAAATGTTTGTGTATTATTTTAAGTCTTTAAACATGCGTTATATAAATATACATTATGTGTTATTTTCTTGAAATTTATATTTCAATAAATTATAAAAAGGCGACCTTATCTTATGGTTACTTATCTTATGTGTTACTTTTAAAATAAAGCTTATTAACTTTTATGAATACATAATAAATTTAAAACGAAGTAATTATTTATATCAACGTGTAAGTACTTTGAACGTATATTACGAATTTCTATAAATACTATATTCAACTAGTAGTACTAAGATAGTAATTTTAAGATGTTAAATACCTAGGTATCGATTCATAACATTATATTTCTAATCATTATATTTATGCTCCGCGAGTTGCCCTCCCCTCACCCACTGCACATGCGCATAGATCACGCCATTCAACACAAAACACAACACGGTTTTTCGCAGACAGAATACTCCTAAATATCCAGCAATTAAAGAAATCCGTCATGTAAACAGTGTTACGAACAGTGCGTAATAGAAACCCACGGAGAGTCGACTTGTAAAAACAGACCAGAATTTAGCGATGTAAACATGAACGAATGTAAGATCGTGTTTTGTATTTTCTTTCTTATTATTTACTGCCTGTACAATGTGAACATGTGGTTTACGGCTACGAAGCGCGTTGAAGAAACAAAAATCGTAGCGGTCGATAACCATCCAGAAATAAAACGGAGTCTTACAGTGAAAATCGCGAAGCGCAAACCGATACCATTGTTCTTCAAAGACGCGTGCAGTGTTTTGGACATTTTCACAGAGACCCCACTCATTTACAAGCCGAAAATGACAAGGAAAATACAAATGGAGGACGACAACTCCATATCCATGATCGGGATAACGGTATTTCTAGTGATACTCGTGTTAAACGCCGCGATAGATGTGTTAAAGGAAAAGGAAGAACGGAAGAAGAAGCTAAACACGGAAGGAAGGAGGCAGTCGCTAGCTGAGTTCGCTAATAAGAAGCCATTACGACGAGAGTCTAGTAAATTCAGCTTCCAGCTGTTCCAAATACCTGAAACAACGAATACCGAGGAGACAGAAACGCGTAAAAAACTTTACTTGAGAGGTGATTCAATAAATTCCTATTTCAGTGATAAGAAACCACAGACTGAAACAGCTCCCGCTTCTATAGGCGACACAAACGAACCGAAATTGGTAAAACGACAATCTATAGCAAAACTAATTGGTAAGTGTATTAGTCTCATAAATGTTGTAAGGGCTTTTTTCGACTTTCAACATATTTATTATTGACAAATTTTAACTGTACTAGATGCAACATCTTAACATGTTAACGGTTTAAAACGCGATATATTGTAGTTAAATTTGCTACTTTGCCTTGAGACTGTAAAGCATCTGAAACGTCGGGCCGTAGTTAAAATATTTTTTAAGCGAGTTTAACTAAAATATTATTAAATTAAATTATCTATATAGTTCATCTAGTATAGTCAATTTATGTTATGGGAATGTTTCTATGTCTATGTATACGTCTAAAACTGTCCTATTTTTTATTTTTTTCATTACAAGGTCTGTCAGACGACTGAGCTTCGTAAGGTAAGATTTCTTTTTACTTTTAGTACTTGTATCGTACAGCCCTTACTGTTGCAGCTTTTTGTGTACAGTTTTCATTTTACATTAATTGGCATGAATTACATATTTTGATAATTATGTTATAAATGTGAAAATCAATTTGTCAGTTTGATCTAACTGTTAATAAATATATTATTTTTTAATTTAAAAGAGTTGAGTATAAATAAAGGACGAATTCTTTGTCGAACTATATGATAAGCGCGGATCGTGGGGGGGAAGGGGTTAGGAGTCATGACCCCCTGATCTGGTTCCAGGACTTAGGGGGACCACTAATTGATTTTATTTACAAATTATTATGTGTTAAGTTTATTCAATTAAGAAATAATATTTTGAAGTACGGTTGAAGTCGTTTATTAAAAAGCCTACTTTTTACTTGAGTCTATTGTTTTCAAAATTAAATTAAAAGTTCTTGACTTGATCACGACGATGTGACCCCCTGGCGCCAAAGCTGGATCGCTTTTGCTGATTTCTTCAAGTATAAAAAACCTATCAAATTGTAAATAATAATGATAAATATGAAAAGATCTAGGTACACAAATATTTTGCTGTTCAATATAATATTCTTGCTTTATTCCCCTTTTCCAGGAGCGCGCCCCGTACCAATGGTACGTCGTTCATCATTCCCCGTTCTACCTTTGAACCCCGAAGTCAAAGCTTTGATGCACACAAATCGGCAATCATCGTTTGACAGTGATGATGAAGGTGATGGAAAGTGTCGTAGGGTTAGAATTATTCGTAGGTATTAGTTACGTCCGAAATACGAGTGTTTTCACGGGTGATATAACTTTTAAATCCGGATTATTATGCATATTCCTTTCAAATATACTGTACACTATAATGTTATACCTTTAATCTAAAATAGCTTAGCTTAGCTTATAGCCTAAATCAACTATATAATTTTTTCTAGCTAAGCTAAACTAACTTAGATTATTTCGAAAAAAGAAATGTTATGTTAGTATAAGATTTACTAAGTACTGTCTCTATTTAATGCGAGTAGAACCCATTTAAATAAAACACTTTTAACAGTTTAAAACGGGAAATGTTAGTTAGCTTATTACGATTTATTTGAACGGCTTTCGTTTTGGATGCATAGCAACAGTTGTGGTCACGGGGGAATGAAGTTTAAGGGCTTATGTCAAAGTCAATATTCAAGCAGATTCTCACTAGCGTAGCAGATTTGATAATTTCACACAAATTTGAAATAAATATAAATAGCGCGTTTTAAACCGTTAAAAGTACTTTATTTAAAAGTAAAGTCTATTATTAAAATTACTCTAGTTACTACTAGAATACATGAAAACGTACGAATTTTATTCTTTTAAATCTAATTCTATCTTAAATATATGCTATTTATTATATAAATCAGGAATCTAGACTAAAGGAAAGCAAGGTTGATGGGGCCTTAATGAACTTTTTGGGCCATTTAGAATGGAGAATTTTCAGAGGGTAGATAATGTTTATAGCAAACGATCGGTGAGTGTTTGTCTGTATGTAAATGAGAATTGTGTTCTAGTTGCTGTCGATGTTATACAAAATGAAGTTACCTTATCTTGGAAAGAAGAAATAAAAATTATAATTTCTCAATAATCTCATTTCTTCTTTACGCTTTCTGTGGTATTCTTGTATAATCTCTACGTTTTTCAACTGAATTTTAAAGATTAATTCCTTCACGAGTAAATATTAAAAATAACACATTTTGGTAAATAAACTTAGACATTTAAATTTTAAAACAAATATAAATTATAATAATTATATGTTATTAACTCAAAAGACCAGGTGGGTATGTTGTAAATGTTTTATCGTATTTATGACGTTATCTATGGTAAGGCTTATACGTATTCCTTGTAGAAAGGCCATAAGAGGCTCAAAATTTCTTATTCTAATATGAAATATTTGAGGGATTGATGAGGGATAAACGTCTTCCCCATTGTATATATTTATTTATTTTCTTCTATCGACTGAGAAAATGTGATAATACCCATCTTTAATCTTTTACCTAAATAGTGTAATTACAAGGATCCATTTTAAAACTATGTATATAAAACTCTACTGTAAATTGTTTACTATATTAAATATAAGAAAAGAAATGTAATAGTTTATTATTTTAAACCTACATACATAGACTACTGATAAATATTGTGACAGAAAAATCAGATTCGGACGTCTCTACTAAACATTATGTTCACAACCGAAATAGGTCGACGAATTTTATCAGATTTTATATGGCTGAGGTATTTTACTTCCCATCGAGTAAACCCCGTGCTTACCTATCCTACCCTATCATATAGGAGTGTAACTCCATGAAATATAATAGAAATAGATGATCGAAACGGGCATACAAACTAACATACTTTGTTTTTCAATAATCCTACCACGTATTTAATAGATTTCCATATGAATTCCAACATGTTTAATAAAAATATCAATAATTGAAAACATGTCGGTTGAATGGGGACTGACCCACGCCCCGTTGATTTAACAAATGTAACTTACCTGACATTTGCTACACGTAGTAGTAGGTGCGCGATGGTGGAGATACAGAGATTTTCATTGTTTACAACTGCTGCTGAAAATGTCCTCGACCCGATACGATTTCTCGTTTGGACTCACGCCAAATTCTTGTTCCCAATACGTTAACATTTTATTAGATACGTTTTTCATACAGACCCTTATACTGATAAGTTAGAAAATAGCTCTTTCTTAATTAGGAATTAACAATTATCATCCATTGTAAAAAGAGACAAAAAAGCAGTTTGTAAAATTTGTTAATTATTAGCACTTGATGTTGTTACTATTTAATTCGACTATCGACAGACAAGCTGATCGTCAAAAGCTGCCGATCATTTTAATAGGCATATGTAAAGTTATTTTTGTAAAAAAGAAACAGCAATAAAGGTAGCTTAGTGTCTTTAGGAGTATGAAATTCAATATTTTTTTTTAATAATTTTATATCTTTGCCCCTGTACACGTTACTTTACTCTACAGCACAGACTGTTGGACGTGTCTATCAGACACACAAATTTAGTCCGAATTACTTATATTTCCAAAAGACTTTGCCAACCTGTGTACAAAATGTATGAGCGCTAATCTGATATTCCCAATTCAGTTGCCAGTTCAATTCTAATTATAAATAAAAGGCCTTGCCATAGTTTTAAAAATAATCGTGATTACCCCACAATATAACAGTCTCGTACGGACGGGAATAAAGGCAACTCGTGCGAGAACGTTCATATCATCTCCCATAACAACTTTCATAAATAAAAAACAATGTACTAGTGCTGAGTGAAAATTGCAAGCTATCTAAAAATACTAGAATGAATTACGAGCAATTGCCCAACGTTCTACATTGGAATTATCGAGGGTTCACAGAATTCCCCCTCCAGAAGCTAAGGGGAGAAGAATCAGATGTCGTCGACATTTATCTAAAGGAGAACCTCATTTCGCGTATTCCGAGCGATATTTGCAAACTAAGCAATCTAGAGAGCCTGTACTTGAGCGGTAATGATATTACAGAGTTACCGCGGGAGATATCGAAGTTACGTTGCCTTAAGTGCCTGGATATTAGCGGGAATCGATTAAGATTTATCCCGGAGGAGATAGCTGGAGCGAGGAATCTTAAATTTCTGATATTAGACGAAAATGAGCTGAAACAACTGCCGCTACGGTTGGCTGAGATCCGCACGCTTCGTTATCTTTCGGTTTGTGGTAAACATTATTACACATTTGCAGTTTTTTTTTATAATTTATAAGAGAAATAATATTACAAACGCTTGTTAAAAAAAAAGAAAACCATTGCGTAGGATGAGAAAAAGACAATGCAATAAAGAAAAAAATATTAGCTAAAACAATAGGACAATGAATGTATTTTTAAATTTAGAATCTGAAACACTTAAATAAAACACTATTTACTATTTAAAAAGCAAAATACATTAGTGCACTTATTTTTATTAATCTTATCTACCACGTTTCGATTTGCTTTAATCCGTTAAAAGTGTTTTATTTAAACTCTTTATTTTTAAATATAATGAATTGTTGTCGTCTTCAGTAACAAATTAAACGTTTCCAAATTCTAAACCACATTGAAAGTAGCTCGTTCAGTTTTTAGTATCGCTCGTAAAACCGAGGAAGACAGTGGTCCTGTTTGCTTGGGATAACAAACTGGGCATAAATCTTGTTTAATGTTTCCTCATTGATTCGCCTGGCCCATTTACGCAAGTTGGGCCAAAATTACGCAATTTCTTCGCTATTGTTTGATGCATGTCTCTTTCAAAGATGTAATTCTCGAAAACAGAATAGCATAATTTATATACGAACTTTAATCTTTAATTTCAGATAACCAATTACAATGGCTTCCACAGCGACCCGTATATAATTATCATCATTGTGAATTTAGATTTTGGAGGAATGTTCACTTGAAGACCATTCCGTATTCTCTATGGTACCACATGTTTCGGGAACAACAGACAAGAAGTTTAAATATTGGGTAACATATAAAATTCTAAACTAAGTACTTACTTTCGAATAAGCAGTGGCTGCTTATGTACTACCTGGAACATGTGGTAGATGTTTTTTTTAATAATAATAAAATAGGGCTCAAATTTCTAGACAGCAAGAAAACAAAAAAAACACGATAGTGCCGACGTAAGATCATTTACAATTATTTAATTTATATATAATGATTTATTTATTTTCCCTGTGTCATCTATGGCATGAACGCTATAAAACTCAGTAAAAGGTCACTCGGTTTCTATGGTCTGAAATCGGCCATATTTGTTGTAGGTGTAAAAGTGTACAATTTCCGAAACTCTTTCTTCTTCAGGTGTCTAGATACCCGAAACGAGACAACACTTGGCAGATGCTTAAAACTAACTAACAGGAAAAATTCGGAATTCAGAATCAGTACGTCAGATCCTTACAATATTATACTCCACAGCAACAAACCTTCGCCGCCAAGCCTCTTCGAATTATCCAAAAGGAAATTTTACCAACTGCTCTGTATGACGACGAATAAATTAAATGAGAAACCGTTTAGTGGATATATGGATATATATAAAGACAATTTGAACTCTCTGGAAAAGCATTTAGGCGATTTCAAAATTCACAGAGACGAACAAAATAATGACATTAACGGGAATTACGAATCCAGTCCTATATCACAGGATATTAGTTTAAATGAGATGATGGGTGTTAAAAGCAAAAGGACGTATGTACCAGCAGATATTATTGAAGAGTACTTTTCTTATTTGCCAAGTTTTTTGAAACGAGACCTAAGCCACGGTCCTTATTCGCGCTGCGAAAATATTATGTGCAAGAGACCTGTATTCGATTTCGCATTTATGGAATTCTGTGTGCAGTAAGTGTTACATTATAAATGTCCCTTGATAGATTTACCTATATTAATTAAAAATCGATTTTATATTTTTTTTAAAAGTACGATATGGCAAGTCCTGACTTGAACAAACATCCACATCGTTCCGTGCTGATGCTCTAACTAATAATAAAAGCGAGCTACTGTGTCCGACACATCATTGTCGATTTTTTTCAACTTATGATACATGCATCTCTCCAGAAATGTTATTTCAACCTTAACACTTACGTATTTAGGTCCAATGTCTTATGGTTTGCATCTTAAAAAATCATCGTAGTCCCGCAGGTATATATGAACATTTTTTTAGTTTTTCCTGATCGATATTATTTACAGGCGAATGCCTCAAACCAAAACAAATTTACTGTTTCTTTAGGATTCCACCTCGCCTTAAAAGTAAACTATACTTAATCTGGGTAAAGTTATTTCTATAAACATGTATCTTAATAAGAAAAATGTATCACAGATATAAAATGATAGTTCAAAAGTGAAGCTATAATACAACACTACGTTTAGTAGCGTTGTTTTATTGCTTTTAAATATGGTCTAAATTTTGAATCGACTGGTTATGCAGATTCAAAATTACAGCTTCATCTTTATTTGCATTATATGCATCCTACTCATTAAGTCTAAACGAATTTCAAATATTCAAATAGCAAATTTTACACAAATCACAGTTTTTAATTGAAACAGTTTTAACGGTTTCAATCGCAAAATATATTAGTTAACGTCGAGGCGTAGATAATATAAATTGTAAGCAAGTTAACTCATGTAATTTTGTGTTTTAAACCGTTAAAAGTATTTTATTTAAATGTCTATTACTCACTTATACTGCAAACGGTACAGTTTAAAAATTATTTCTTTTTCTAGGAAAATAATCTTGATTGATAAGACGGAAGACGTTACGTTAAGTGCTGTCTTTTGTTCGAAAAATTGTTCAGAAGTGTGGAAGGGCGAAAAACACGTTTTGGAATGGGAGTTTATGTAATACATATACAATTAAATGTATTACTTTATGGTGCTTTAAAAACAAGTTAATAAAATCTATGCAAATTTAAATTCTTCTTAATTTCATATAAAACTTAATATTATAGCACATAAAAGTGACTTAAATAATTAATTCAGTATTAATATTGTAAATAAATTATATTTAACATTAAATGTTTACAAATTAATATATGTCCTTATTATATAAATCTTCTTGGAACGTATAATTTCTATAAAAAGATAGTGACATTTCTTATTTCACAATTTAGAGTAGTAAATAGATTTATAGAATAAATTACATAAGAAAATCATTTTCTTTGGACATGTTGACACCACGTTTGTCAGTCGCGCCATTAGACAAAGGAGTCGAAAAGAAGGAGATCATTACTTCCCATGGATACTTTCATGGACACAAGTGTAATTTACAGAAGGACAAAGTAACGAGCCATGAGATAAAGTGCGGACGAATCAAACGATTTATGCTGGATCTAATAACAGTTAGAATCAATGATGTGAGATCTCGGATCTTGTACAAGTAAATAGCTTTGACGACTATCTCTACTTCTTTAATGAAGTCTTCTGTGACCACTTGTGAACCATACGGAACACCAGGGTCGTAGACTGCTGAAAATTGTTTTATCTATAAATAGTAATATTTTAAAGCCGACGAGGTTGTTTGTTTAAAGGCGCTAATTTCAAACACTAAATTTCGAAGGTTCGAAATGAAAAACTTTTGTATTGGTTATGCCATTTTTCGTGATGTTGCATAAAATCACGCGGCCAATAGGAGCGAAGAATCTTTGCTTCTTCCGTCGCGTGCGCAACGAAAACTAAAAGCCACGTTCAAAAAATGATTTCTCTTTAAATGTTCTTTAGAAATGTCCGCGATAATATCTGTCTATCTTATAAGATTAATTCGCAAGAACGACGGAAAGCCGACGACTTGGCGTTGTTTGAAAAAAAACAAATACTGATGTATAAATTTACTATTCCTACCAGACGTTGTCACGGGCTCAGCTAGTTTACTATCAAAATAGAGGACTCTAAACAAAAATAACTTTGAACTGATTAGAACGTTACAAGATTGACATGGCAAAAAAATTAAGCATTTAATTTTTGTTAATATAGCCCTTTAGGGTACCTTAAAAGAGGATATGAAAATTTCGCTAAATAACTATATCTATAAATACTAATACAGGTCGTACTCCGCACTCATTGCTGTAAAATATCTTCAATACACGAAATACCCTTGGACAATTCATCCTTTTAGCAAGTTACGATTGTCGATGGAAATATTGTTCAGTACAGTGATTGTGGTCTCCGATACTTTGATGATGGTGCACTATTCCAGGACCAATCCCCGGAAACATGTAAGATATTTTGTATAATAAATTATATGAAGCTATTTGTAATTTAACTAAGAAAATTTACAATTCTACAGCACTCACCTTGGGTGAATCTATACGAATCTATAGACTTTGCAGACATGTAATGAAGGGAGGCCTACTAAGTCTTATTTGTATCTAAAAGATATTTTAAATAAAACATTTTAAACGGTTAAATTTAAAAGGCGAAGTTTATTTGTTGGCTTATTTTAAAACTACATTAAGGGTCCGACGTTTCGGATGCTTTGCAGTAACCGTGGTCAGGGGGGGGTCTCATGTGTCAATGTCAAATCTGCTACGCTAGCGACGTAGTTAGTATTTGGAGTACGTATGTGTCTTACGTACTGTTAATTTCGCGTTTTTTAAACTGTTAATTAAATGTTTTGTTAGAAGTGTAAAAGATATAGTACTCGCGTAGACTAGACAATATTTAATCTAAGACATCTTTTTATTATGCCCTTGGGTTAAAATGTGTGAACCACAAAGCTTTTAGGCCACAAAATGCACACAGTAAGGACTTATGTTTTAGTCTCTATGTATTTATTAACTTATGTTTCGTTTTAGGTTATTGAAGAAAACATTATCTTTGCCCTTGACGTTATTTACCTCCTAAATATAATATTAAACTTTTTCACGGGCTTTATTGTCGGCTACACTAATCAAGAAGTTATACTCGAACTTAAGTGTATTGTACTTAGATATGCGACCACTTGGTTCGTCCCGGATACTTGCGCAGTGTCATACATTATACTGAACATTTTCGACTACGATAATATATCTATTGAACTTTTGCTGATGTCTTTTAAAATCATTCGACTGATGAGATTGTTTACTTATGTTAATAATCTAAGTGTTGTGCTTAGTCTTGGCGTAAGTATAACTTATTTTTTATGAAGTACATATATGACTGTTCGCCTCCGTCGCTTAATGGGTTGCCCAGCACTGCACGAGAGGTTCGAATCCTGGGAAAAAAAAATGCTTCGGTCGCGCAGGCACAGAAATCTGAACAACACAACTAATTAAAGTTGTTTAGAGAAACGGACCTATAGATAAGTATTTGTTGTCTTTGTCGTACTGGTGAAAACGGTATTTTACACAAGATATACTTTATAGCAAAATGTCCTACGCGTCTTTCTATGAAATTGATAATTATTATTATTCAAAGCTTTACGGTTCTTTGAGAGTCCTTTATATCGTTTGGTCAAATTAATGTCAAACGCGCTATACATATAACATAGTAAATCAATTTCTGATTTTTTCTTATCTTACTAGCTTACTTACTCCACTGGCGCAACGACTCACTCAAATGGGTCTTTGCGTCCACAACAATAGAACGCAACTTCCGTCGACCCTACGTCACGGTCTTTCCTAATTATATTTTTTATTTACGTTAATTTAACTGTATATCCTTAAAATATTGTCTTTATGTTAATTTCTTTGTTCCAAGATCGCTTTCAACACGACCATCGAAATAATTCTTCTGTTCTTAACATATATAAACTGGAATATGTATTTACAATATGCCGTCGAATACATGAATGAGAACTCTTTTACTCCTGAATCTCCTAGATCGTGTTCCTGGATCACCATTGGAAAACTGTGGAATGAAACTTCCACGACGCGGTTCGTTTACGCATTAGATAGAGCTGGTAATAGTTTTATTATATTTTTGCAATTTTTTTTTAATGATAGTGTAGGACAGCATCGAAACAAGACGCGCTGTCTATGTATTTTGGCTTTAGATATTCGGAAACCCACAGACTGATTAAGCATCAAGGTTTTTTTTATTTGAGGACGGTGGTTCGCGACCCAGACGGAATTTCGACATTCCTACTACCCATTTAATGTTTAGATTTTTACACGTCGTCCAATATGTTTCAGAAAAATTATAAATTATAAATTGAAATGTTGGACATGGTGGGGATCCAACCCACGACCCGTTGATTATTGCCATACATTGCTACCTCTACTCTCGAGTACTAAAATTTATTTCCCGTACGTTAAACAATTTCGATATACACCTTTTAAGTTTCTTCTTACACAACATTCATAATAGTTTTTATCGGTTTTTTTCTCACTTATTAATTTTTTCTCCATAGTGTTTGCATTAATTGAAATTTATAAACATAATTTTCTAACTCTTAAGAAGTAATAACCAAGTTAATCTATACTTAGTAGTTAGGTAAGGAGCATTCGGCGACTTTGTTTCTCTGGGTGTGGAAATAAGGAAGTGGTAAATGTTTACGTTGGCAAGTAGTAGAAACAAATTAATAGAACAAATACACTTAATCAAAAAAGAAACAAGTTCAAAGTCCTCTTCTGAAAGGATGCGATATTTATTTACGGAAGCATTAACTTTTGACATTTCCAGTTGGCATGTTGAGGGGAAACGCCAATATAAACATTCTTGAAAAGGATGGCTGCTTTCAAACATTCTTCATTATTGCTTGGTTTATATCTCAGGTATTTAGTGGTTTTAAGTATTGGTTTACCAGCGTTTTTGTGTGCATATTAGAATTCTACAATACAGTGGCTACAAGATTAGCTTTAAGTAGCGGACAAATAAAACTTTTCCTAAGATTTTCAACAATTATTGAGATATTTCATTTGTTTATTGAGTTTCTTATATTCACTATATACGCTTTCGCGTTCTTATTATAGTAAAATCTCGTTAAATCGAACTGAGATAAGAAAACCTGCAAATTATGAAAAAAATATGTTTTGCTCTTCCCTTCAAACCTCTCTTAGTCGAAATAAATAGTGGGACCCTCCAAACTATAGTAGAAGTACACAATTCTTTCTTAGGACGTAATTTAGGAGTATCCCTACAATGTTCGATCTATAGAGGTTTTTCTGTATATGCCTAAGCATATCAATTTTCTTACCTTAAATAATATTTTTAGTTACTTGTACTTCACTGTGGCTTCAAATACATAATTACTTTATTCGGTGCGGAGTCAGCTAGAGCCCAGTATTTCATAATGGCTAAACAAGTGGAAATGTATTTAAACCAAAAGAAGTATCCACTCAGAATCAAAAACAAGGTTCTAAAATTCTACGCAATTGGTTTTCAATATCAATTCTTTGTTGTGAGTTACTTTCTTTAATTCGCCCTTTGATAGTTCCCACGGCTGGGACAAGCGTCATAGGGGGGATTCACTACTACGTGGGTCATATTAGTGTAGATAGACACTTCGTCATTGTTGGCTTTAATGTCAAGTGTTTGTAGGTTTTCCTTCATTGGAACGTTACACATTTTTTATACTCGACCAGGATCGAACTCCCAACATAACGACCGGATATTGGACTCTCCAAGAGATCAATACGGTTTTCTATACGCAGCCACAAATAAAAGAAATTGTTAGCTCATATATATATATATTATTATTATAGATATATATATTTATAGCTTTTATCACCTAATTATACTTACATTTTGAATTAAAACATATGACGTGTAATGTATACCTATTATGATTCATTTTTATCCTTAGGAATCCCGAATGATGTCTTGTGTATCCGGGCAATTGCGCGAAGACATAATAATGCATACAGGAAGACAACTGGTTCGTGATGTTGCGTTCCTCAAACGGTTGCCAGGAACTTTGCTCTTCCAAATCGGCGTCAAACTTAGGATCGTCATGTTCCTCTCTGGCGATATTATTATGAAAATTAAGACTATAGGTAACTTAAAAGAAAAAAAAGGTTTTATTTGATAATTTTAGTCAAGGGTGTGATGTGCCACCGTCCTATAACATTTTAGCTAAATTTCTATGGCCATCTATAAATTGACACGGAAATCAAATATTTCATAAATTTTATACTATGCACTATATTGGTCACTGTGTAAATAAGTCTCCATTTTCATTTTACTGCAAAAAACGAACAGCTATCTTTTATTGAGTAACTTTAATAACTATTAAATATAGTTTTAGCTAGTGTGCGTCCTTACCTTGCGTTTTAACCTTGAGGAGAACAGAAAAGCAAAGGGTTCACTCACTACACAGGTGAATACCCTAGCCATATAACATCTGCACAAGATGTACTATCGACCCATTATGGTTTTGGTTAGAGCTTACAAATGAGCAGCAGGATCCATCTTCTTCTCTTCTCCATTCTTTCTTACTTCATGGAGTTATATTTCAGGCGACTGTCTCTACTTCATTCACAAAGGAACTGTAGCAATCTACTGCGAATCAGGCAAAGAGGTATGCCATTTGGAAGACGGAGACTTTTTCGGTGAAATAGCTCTGGTCATGAGCCACAGTCTTCGAACAGCATCAGCCGTTGCGGTCACCAACTGTGAACTCTTCAGACTTGATAGAGAGGACTTTGAAAAATACGTCGCGTGCTACCCAACTGTTTACGAGGATATAAAGAAGGTTGCCACGACTCGGTACGAACAATCGAAGATGCTGGATGACCACCACAGAACGGAACTTAATATGAGGAAGAAGCGAGTGGTGGAATCGCCTGAATAACTTGAATTTGGAGATATAAAATTTTTCGAATTAGATTTATCCAAAAAATATGCCGCAATATTTCAAACATTACTTAAAAATATAAGGATAGGTGTAACTTTGTTTTCCAGTATAAATTAAAATAAAACTAAGAACAAATATTTTTACAGCGTTTTATTCCAGCCACCATTTAAAATAATAAAAAAAAATATAAATACAATCGTTCAAAATACTGATTTTTATATACAAATTAAAAATTTCGACATAATGTAGATATCACAAATTAATTAAAAAATATTATGCAATTCACGCCACAGTATTAAATTTACTTTTGAAATTCAATTTTAAAGACATTATTTCTTATGACGATTTCACGAATTAAAATAAATAGGTATGCGAACGAAAAGGTTCTGTTAAAAGCGATAATATTTCGCGAGATCAGGTATAAGATTCATAATAAATAGCTTGTGAATGTGTTATTTTTACCTTTCGTTATGTAAAAATATTATCACTTTTAATGTTTACATAAAAGTAGAATTTTATTGTTTTTTATTATGGAATAACTGACTTTCTTTCATTAGGTATATATTCTGGCTGTTTTTCATATGTATAAAAATAATTAGAAATATATTTCGTCTTCCTCTTTTATATTCTGTTCTCAGTATTATGTGGAAGATTGAGACCGATTCACTCAGATTGCTCATTTTGAAAGGCTTAATATTTCATCCATGTATAATGGACATGACGAGGGAATAATGCTTAGGACACAGGTTTTGTTCTCTCAAATCTCAGACAAATATGGCGTTCACGTGATGGTAGGTAAAATACGCCATGTAACCCCATCCATTTCAGCCTGGATATTCGGAGATATAAACTTAAACCAAAACGCGATTAAACTTCACGGCTTTTTCTTCTGTGAACGGTGGTTCGTGACCTGGACGGTATTTCGAAATTCCCACCCTCCATTTAATTTCCAGATTTGCAGACAAAGTCCAACATGTTTCAGAAAAAATATAAATTTATTACAAGCATGTTGGATTATTATATTTAGGGTATTTTTAAAGAAACGTGACAAGATCGGTGTCCCTTATATCGGTAAAAAGCCCTCCATGTACAATACATTATCGAAACTATTGAAACACAAGACAAGGATATTAGGTTTTCAAGATTATCTCGAAATACTTCTTATAATATAAAAATCGAAAATAACACGTAAAAAATATTAATGTAATTTCATCTTCAATGATTTCTTAAGCTGCAAAGCATAAGACGTTGAACCTTAATACGCAAGGATTAAGGTTGATGTATCAATAAGTTGAAAAAACTCGACGATGAGGTGTAGGACTCGGTAGCTCAATTGGTAGAGCAACAGCACGGAACGCTGACGATGCCGGTTCAAGTCCTGCCCGAGTCGAAAGTATTTTCGAAAAATTTCGACTCGGGCAGGTTCTTTTTTTCAATTTATTTTCGATTTTTAAATTATAAGGTGCCTTCATGTGCAAAGAGAAAAATAGTTTATATACCTAAGTAAAAAATCTATTGTTTGTGCTTTTCTGTACCATAAAATAGTGTAACACCCATAATAAATATTATGCCTGAATGACAGAGCTTAGACAACCCTAAAACGCCAAGATCCATGTCTTTTGATCAACTTTTAACAAAGACATAAAATATGTATTTAATATAATTTCAATACATTACCAATTGTAATAATGCCTTAAATAAAATATTTTTATTGTAAATCGGTCTTCGGACATAAGTACTCCACTTTTCTATAAACCAAACGTTCAAGCTAGCTTTTCTATGTTCAAAATTTTTCATCACTAATTTTGTGCCTACAATTAATGGAACCTTTTACCTAACGAATCAAATAATTTATCTAATCTACTTAACCTATCATTAGTAAATAATGGAGTGTTTCATTCATTTAATCAATTATTTGGAATCGCAGAACTTGGACCTATTCTAACTTAAACGCCTACTGAAAAAGGCTACGATCTCCATTTGCGTGCAACGTAACATACATAATATATAGTAGACCAAATAATATGACGCGGTGTAAAGCATCGGTGTGTCTGTATGTACTGCGTTCACACGCCAACGTGTGGAAGCAGTACAACCAATGTGTGAAAGAGACAACAATAGTAGTTAGAGTAGTAGCATGGGGCCCTGTGAATACTTGTTATCTTGTCCCGACCGTGTCGTCAAAATTTGACAATCTAAACAGTAAAATGAAATAAAAGCAAGCTAGCAATACTATGTTCGCGAACGCCGTTCATAGGAGACCACAGCCTAACATAACGGACACATAATTAACATTTTAAGGCATTATTTGATTGCATTTAAGGCATCGTTATTTTACAAAACCAAGGGCACGTGAGTTAGAGTGGGTTGTTGAAACCTGTCGAAATTGATTTAAATTACTATCGGATATTACTTCATTGCAACATTCTGCTGACGTTACAAAATAGGACCTTATAATTATCTTATTGGACATTTCACACGCAATTAACGCATAAACTTTGCGTCTTCTTCCACTGGGCCGTTGCTGGAAAAGACAACAAATATCACATAAGCGTTATATTAGGATATTGCATTTTTTTATAATTATATGGTTTCAAACTATTTCTCCCACCGCTAGGCATGTCGGTTCTCGGTATATGTCTAAAGAAATATAAAAATTTACAGAGCATATTTTCTAGATTTAGCTATGACTGACCAAATGGCCAAGTTGAAAGGTCTTAGTATACCGACCGCTCTTCTACTAAGTGAAGATAGAAAAGCGTGGAAGCAGGTGGTCATCAAGGCAGTACTATCTCATGACAAGCACGACCTTCAGCAATGAAGAATGCGATTAAAAGAGAGAGAGAGAGATTGTTCTTTTTGGTCCAACACACTATTTTATGGCAAAACGAATACGTTAATAGTTGTTAAAAATTGCTAACCAATAAGCGAACGGCCCATAAAACAACAGCTAGGATATATTCTCGACCTCCTTAGCGTGAAGTGCTCGTGAGCTCGTGTAGAACAAAACGCACGGTGATTTCCACCACGGGCTGAGTTGGGATACTTCTTCTTCGCTCACCTCTACTATGCTGAAAAAGATTTGAAACATATTTTGAAAAAAAAAAAAACGACGGGCGAGGTTTAACCTGGCATTTACAGCGCTCCCATGCTGCTGCTCTAACCAAATGAGCTACCGTGTCCTATTAGATATAGAAAAAAACTGTATTAGTACTGTTAAGGCATATTAAACTATATTATGTTACTTAACCCACGTTTTTCGTTAAATAAATTTATGAGACATATACGATATTTCAAGTGTTGATAAGTGTCCATCATTATTACTAAAGACCGTAGTAGGTTTCGTGAAGAGCTTATTATTGAAATGACCCCATGTAGTAAAAAATCCTTGGTACCATTGTCTTGGATAACATTAGGCACAAGATTCGAATTATTTCGATCGTAAAACTGATCATCTACTTGCCACAAAAATCGATAAGCGAAAAGGACACATAAATGTGTGCGCCCCATGAGGATAGAGAAATTCAATCACATTAAAACCTTTGCCTAAATGTTTTCTTATAATGATCCTTATGTTAAATGTAATAAGGTCTATGCAAACCTCAAATCATTGTAGAGGTACCAATGCACGTCCTCGTCTGCCACTCTTACGTAAGCGACGAGGTTCCTCGGATTGTCCTCGATGCAGAGAATCACCGCTGTCAACGTGTACTCTGCTTCGGATTGAGAAGTTGATTTCTTTTTATGTTTACTCAAATCTTGCTTTTCTGATAATTCTCTCTGAAAATAGATTATTGCGTTATTAGTGCAACGCCCTTATTAACCTAGTTATCTTAGAATTATAATGGAAACATTATTTTAATTGTATCACTGTGCAATTGATGATTAAATAATTGAGCTAAGCTTTTACCCCCTTTCTAAGCTAAATAATGTATAAGTACACCATGTAAAGATTAAAATCTAATTTCCCTTTGTAAGTATGGGAACACTGTCTGTTAGTTGAAAATATATTATTAATCATTTAACTAATGTGTTTCGTGTTCTTAACCTTTAAAAGTGCTTAATTTGTATACTTCTTGCGTAACCAGACAATAGTTTTAAAGGGTTAATTATAATTATTATTATTACCTTATCACTGATGGCGATATCTCCGTCAGATTGCAGTCGTATATTCAGTTGATGAGGTATCACACAACTGGTGTCTTGCGTTTCACTCTTCGTGTTGTTCTGCGGCGAAGACGTCGGTCTGCAAATACATTTACCAAACACCGAGTTTGTACTTGAAACCTTTTAACATTTTTTAATAGTTGTTTATTTATGATTGCTTTATTATTTATAAAACACACCATAAAAAATACATATTAATGAGGAAAAATCTTACGTACTAATCTCTTCCAAGCAACCTGAAGTACAAATTTATATTTACAAAGTAAATAATTTATATAGTCGGTAAGTGTAAGTTTATAATGTTTTCTAAATATACGATATTTAAGGAGTGTAGTCCCAAATCCCCTATATGAGACACATATATAATTACCCGTCACACATTATTTATCAGTAAGGCAATGCAGACTTATTAGAAATATTACTATAATATATGTGACTAATATATTTTGGTTTCTTTCTTACTTAATACAGGATGCCGCCAGACTTATCACATTAATTTTACTACGCATTGTAATAAAACAATTTCGACTAAATTTAAAGTACTTCCTTTTTTATAGAAAGTCAATGACGATATATTTTACACCATTTACGTTTGAAAAGGACAGCAAGCACTTCGTAGTAATCAATGATTGCCAATTACCACTAATTTTACTGTCTGTAGCTATAACCTGATGTTCTTTGTGAATTTAAGAGTTCTTGCTAAACTGCGCGACCATCTTTAGAGGAGTACACATTTTAATAAAACACTGCTAACGGTTTAAAAACTCTATATTCTAAGAACAGCAAACCGGTAAACGCGAAGACACATCGTTAGTCAATTCTGTAAGGACCCGGCCAGTTTCGCCAAATATCAAGTACAACGGAACAGGTGGCGATAGTGTCGCAGATTTGACTATGACATTAGAGGCAGCCGCTATCTTTAGGCTTCCCGGCTACTGCAAAACATCCGTAACACCGGTCCGTAGTTAAAATCATTTGTAAATAAGTTTCAATAATAGATTTCGCGTTTCAAATTGTTAAAAGTATTTTATTTTAACCACATTCTATTGACGATTAATGTGATAAATCCGACGGCACCCTGTATAAGTATACATAACCTAAAACTACCTGTCGGGATGTTTAAATCTGCACCCGGGCCGAGCGCAGTGCAGCCCGTACCTACAAGGTTTCGCGCTACCTCCGCGTTTCACTGCCTCTGTCTAGAAACATCGAAAATATAGTGAACGGGCATTTCATTCCCTTTATTCCTATGAATACATCAATTACCGTCTCTTTCGTTGTTCCTTTGGCCCAGAAGAGTTTCTCTTCTGCTGATACTCCACCGCAGTTTATTGCTAATATCGGTGGCAACCTAGAAATTATTTAAACAAACTTTATTCTCACTTTAATACAACGTTAAAGATTATTTTTATAAAACAAAAAACAACTACATTGTCAACAAAATTATATATGAATATAAAATTTGTATCGTCTGTAGCCTACATTTAATACTTTCAATGGTTTAAAACGCGTAATAATCGTAAACATCGTGACGCACACATAAATCTACTCAACTACTTTTTTTATATAGTGATATGTAATAGTTTTCTTACCTAACCAGCCGACCTCGTTGCATAGTAGGGGTAAACTTAGCGCACCGTTCACACCAGGCGGGCGTCGATCTTCGAGCGCATAACGATGCTCGTACCAACTCCAAGAAACCACTGTTAGCCCGTTCGCTATCTCTATTCGACGCGTATTGTAGAGCACACGCTAACACTACTGATTCTCGTTCCTCCTAAAAGATATCACAAAAGCAATATAAACATAACATTAATGACTAATTGTAATCACATTTAAATGAATAAAACACCTGTAAGACTACGACTCACTGCTAGTTTGATCTTTATTCATAGATAATTCAGTGAATAATTTCGTATCTAGCAAATAAAACTATAAACTTAAAAAAAATGATACGCAAACTAAAATAAAGTTAATTTATTTTAACGACTCGATATTAAAAGGCATCCCGATTTTGTTTCAATAAGTTTTTTTAATTTTAATACGCTTTTTAACGGATTTAAAGATTTAATGAGCACTGAAAGCCCATCTCTGTAGCTAAATTTATGTATTTATTTATTAAAAACCAATGCACGTATAATAAGCACGTTTAACCAAATACACCTGGTTAAACGTGGTTAGCCTTATATTAACGCACAGAAGTCTGATCGGCTATATACTTGTAAATAAAACCGATCAATGAATGCGTTAGCCCCATGCCCCATTGAAACTGGACTTCACTTACAAATACGGTAGGCACAGATTACAGATAAGTTATATTTTTTGCCAACTCACCTCCTTATTACATTTCAGACACCTGTTGAGCTGTTGACGGGCGATCGCAAACAATTTCGAGATCTCCGAGTCTTCTCGCTCGTGTTTGCTGTTCGACAGCTCTTTGTCGATGTTATTGTGGTGATTCTCCGCGTTCAAGAGCGTCACTTTAAAAGGGATCAACCAATAATTACTGTAAGCACGTAAACAAGCAGAGTAACGCTTAAGTTAAATAAGAAAAATGCTTCAGAAAGAGACTGAATTAAACTGAATAAGTTCGATTTCCAAATTTGTTTAATAAGTAAGGCTGCATAGAACTTGCAATACATATATATTTATTACCACGACGAATTAATTGATTTTGCTATTTAAAATGTTATGATGGAGGAGTATAGAAAAGCACGGCGTTCACTAAATGGTAGTTGGAGTACCCTAGCCATTTAACATCTAAACAAAATGCGTTGTCGACTTATTTTGGCTTTCGATATTCAAAAATCCAAAGACTGAAACCGGAATGCAATTAAACTTCACGGCTTTTCATCTGTGGACGTTCGTCTGGACGGAGATTCGATATTCCCACCAAATATTTAATATTTACACACAAAGTTCACAACATGTTTCAGTAACGTTTGAAAACTTTATTATTTTTGACAAATCATTGCACATGAAAGCACTATATAATTTAAAAATCGAAAATAAATTGAAAAAAAAAATCGATTTTACAATTGAGCTACCGAGTCAATTGACTCGGTAGCTCAATTGGTATAGCAACAGCACGGAACGCCGACGATGCCGGTTCAAGTCCTGCCCGAGTCCAAAATTTTTTTCAATTTATTTTCGATTTTTAAATTATGTTTCAGTAAATTAATCATTAGAAAAATGGTTAACCCGTTGGGGAGCTAACCCACGACTCGTTGCTTATTGGTTATAGATGGTTACTATTACACCGACGAGCCCGTCAGACACAGACAGTTACCTAGTATTTGTTAAGTAGTTTGTTTTAAACAATTTGTTAAGTTAACGACATAAAAATCAGAGTATATGTTAATAATGGTTGGTATTAAAATATCGCTTATTATAATATATTTGATTACCTTCATCGACCTTTGTATCCTTCCATTTTTCATCCAGCCCATTTCTCAGTTCGTGCTCAGAATCCAATGGGCTTAAAAACTCTAAATCAGTATAGGCGTAGTCGTCAATTTGACCGTTCTGCTTCTTTAAATGGGTCTTCACCCTGGGCTTGGGAGTCGACGCGTTTTGAGCTAAAATAGCTAGCTCCTTCTCTTTTTTGCGCGTTTCTAAAAGCTCGTAATGTATTTGGTGCAAAATAAACCTGTTCCAACTCTGGAATTAGCCAAATTACGATATGTTACTACTTAACTTCAGTATCACTTGATGGAAGATAGCCATATAAAAAATGCGCAGCCGGTCCATTTGGTCTTTGCCATTAAGAAATAATCGAGTCTTTATGGTTTTTCTAACTTGCACGGTAGTTTGTGACATAGACGGAATTTCGATATTCCTACCGCCCTAATTATATCTAGATTTCTAGACAGTCAAGAAAAATATAATTATTTAATAAGCACTTTGAACTTGATAGGAACCCGTGAACACGGGCAAGACTTGAACCGGCATTCACAGCGTTCCTTGTTCCCCTAACCATTTGAACTACCGTTTCCTACACGTCATCGTTGATTTTCTACAACCTTGTGATACATGCACCTCTCGCGCAATGTGCATTCAATGCTACTGGACCAACGATCCCATCAAAATTAGACCATATGACTTATTAATAAATTTCAATAACTGATCCTAAAATCTATTTCTCTGATAAAACTCTCTTCCCTTCAGTTCAGTATTTGGAACCAGACAGTACCTCTACATTATGCGAAGCATCGTTTTTTGTTAAGCATTATTTACAGCCCATGCGATTACCTGTATCAACGCTACTAAATCTATCTTTCGATCTGTGCCGCGATCGGGCAAAATAAGTCCAAGGGCGGCTGCTTCGGGCACAGTGCGGAATGCCCGTAAGAAATTATTCGCCTGGCAAGGAGCACCCCCCGACGTGTCGAGCATCCTGAATAGAAAACCTGGAAAGGACCATGGTACAATTCGAGAGGTATTTAGGATTTCACCACATCTTGTACCACAAACGGACAATGCCCAAATGCTTAGCAACCAGTGTTGCCAATGAAAGAAAGGAATATTTGAAAGTACTATCAAAATTTTAAAACGATGATCGTATCCTTATACAAATTGTAGTAAAAATAATTTCAGGGATAAAATTAAATTAAAGACCGTGAATCACACAATATTTTATAAATAAAACACTCGTTGTATTGAAGATATATTTCTAAGTATGACATATACAAACAGTAGCAGTATTTTGCCTATAGAGAACGTATTACAAGTCGACATATGCTAATACAGTCGAGTAGCCATATGCTAATACATTTATGTTTGATAGTATTTTGTAATGATACTACACAGGAAGTCTTATTGGTTTTTAATCTAGATGTAAGTCAATTAACTAAGTAGTTCTATAATTAATCATATAAAACGAAAAGGTCTGGTAACTGACCTAAACCTTGCTCTATGGATAATAATTATTGAGAAATTTACTAAATGTGTAACTTATTTGTATAGGTACAATGCGGTAAGACCTTTGCTTATAAGTGGTAAAAGAGAATAAAGTGGGAATTAGTTGAATTACCATTCTATTATTCGATTTTAGAAAAACTTTAAAGTAGCAATTGGGCATAATCCTTTAAAAATATCAACACGAAAACTTGCTAAAAAGCATTTAGCAGGTTTAAATGGAGAATAAGCAGCAACACAAAAGAGACTAAAAATTTAAAATGTAAAAGAGAAGGTTGCATTATTCACTGAATTTATTTGTTTTATCAAAACCATTGTTTCATGCATTTTGCACCATTTTCGATTTAAGCTAAATCCATTTTGCCCGTAGTGTCAATAGTAACATAGAAAAAAGAAAAGATAACGAAAAAAAACATAACTTCAAAGTTTAAGGACGTCTCGTGTCTAACGAAATTCCCAGAAACCTACATTTCCTATAAATCTCTACGAAAATTAAAAGTAATAATCTAATCAACAGACCTAATTCGCAAGTGAGACAAAACTCCTTGGCGCAAGTGTGTGCGATCAGCGTCGACTTCAATGGGGGCATGTTGTATAGCACCTGGAAACAAACAACCTTCTTAGGATATCTGAGTTACCTCTGGTTTCTTAATAGCACAAAATAACCTAGTTGTTTTGCATATAATAGTCAATTGTTATAGACTTGATCGAAAAGCTTTTATGAATTTGCTGGTATAAAAATGTTTATCCCAAAAGACATTATCTGTACCTAAAAGTATTGTACCTACGCACGGTTTAATGAACAACTCACAGATTTACGGTTTATTAAACCATTTACTCCACTCATATATAAATTGTAGATTTCATTTACTTGTCAGTCAAATACACAACGTAGTGGTCCTTCGAGCCGGACTATGCTATATATTGTTTGTACCGAAATATCGTTTATATTAATACGCGTATATAAGAGCAAAATTTGACAAAGTTTACCTGAATCATTGGATTGCAGTATGAATTTGGTACAGTGGCTTCAATACCCGGCAAACCTGTTCTGTTGCATCTTTCTAATACCTCGTTAGGTTCTGTCTTATTGAAGCGTAGATCCATCTGCAAAAATAGTTTTTAAAATGGCAGTAAATTTAAATTTTTTATACTTAAATAAATTAACATAGATAGACTCTTTAATCAATATGACTATTGTTCTGTTTGTCAGGTGATAACAATTCAAAATACATACAAAAACAATTTATAAAACATAATAATTACCAAAGCTTACAAAAAAGGTTTGAAATCTGTCACATCAAGCGAAATCTTACCTTTTGATATTCACTTGGAATGGGTTTAACCGACACGGGAGGATCTTCGTTTGTGTTTGGCCTGTTTAAGTCTTCCATAGTATCATCAATGTATGGATACTACAACAAAAATTAAGTTAATATAATATAGTAATGTAACTTAAAAATATAAAAAAGGATGTTTAAAATACCTCATTACGCCTACTCGTGCCAGGGTTTGGAGCGTAACCTATGGGACCTTTCATTTTCATTGTTTTTAAGATTTCGGGATCGATTGGTTTAGGTTTCCTGGAATTGAATATTGAGTTAATTAATTCTACCTTACTAACTAGCGAAACCATAAAAAAAACAGTTGCCAAGCATTGGTCGAATACCATCGCTAAAATTCGGTCCTGACAGTGTTTAAGTATAAAGTTATTAGTGTTGCGGACATACATACAGTTTGCTGTGCGTTTTAAGTTACAATTTATTTTAAGACCCTTTTATTAATTTAGACTTTAGAGACTAAGTTGTGTTGTAAAAAGGCTTTCAATTGCAGTAAAAAAAAGAGCAATAGTTTCATATACAATGCACATTGCCCACTACAAAACGATGACAGAACATAAAATACTTTGAAATAGTACAGACACTTGGTTTTATGTAAATTTTGTAACAAACAAAAGATCTTCATTTTACAGCACTGTCTGAAGTTTAAGCAAGTAGACACACAAACTAAAAAAGACAACACACTCGAAAAAAACATTATGAACGCGAAATATAATACTTATTTTAACTTTAACGTGAGGTTTCGGATGCTTTGCAGCAGCCTGTGTTGTTTGAATCTCGCGTTTTAACCGTAAAGAAATTTGCTTTTTACATATAATCTTACCTATGAATCTTCTTAAAGAACTCATCGGGTAATTCGTGGAACCATCGATTACCAGTGGCAATAGGAGGCAGCGGCATTGAAGAGAACTTAAACGACTCACTAAAACCCGCAAACGGCAGGCGCACAGGGCTCGCGAATTGAGTTTCCCTGAATTATAACACAATTTAATATCTATCCTATTCATTATGGGTGAAATGGTCAGCTGATAATGTGGACTGATCACCCGGCCTTCTTTGGGTGTCCCCAATAGAAAATAAATCCTGTACATCTAGCTATACAGGATGACCAGATGTATATTGTTATTGCACTGCCTTCAAATGACTTGAGCGGTCTCTAGGTCTCTTATTTTGTTCCAGATCACACAATTTTTGGCAAGGGTTTGATACCGTTATCTAACTAGCCAAGATAATAGATAGCCAATTAGGTGCAAGGTGCCTTATCAAATATATTTAATACTAGCAGACCCGGCCACGCGTTGCTGTGGCTGAAGTTATTGTTTATAGCAGTGCCATCCATCGAATTGTAGCTTATATGACACGTTTGTCGGTTTACCATAGCAGTGCCATCTATTGATTACTCACTCAATCCATTGTAACTGTCAATTATTTATAGACAAATACTTTGCAATAAAATAAAATTGCGACTATAATTAAAGATCTAAACTATCCTGTCTCAAGTAGGACCAGACTGCCCATGGTGTGCCAATTTAATTTAAAATCGGTTCAGTAGATTAGGAGTCCATAGCGGACAAACATTGTGACAGGAGATTTATATATATAAAGATTTACAATTGATTCAAAAATTTAAAAAATATATATAAATAAAATTTATAAATTTTACACATGTAACGTACCGTGAAAAATTATTGAACATAGGTTCATTATTATGTTTCGAAGAGAATAAATAAACATGTCCGCCTTGGTCTCCGAAAACGAACGCTTGACTAGACGACGAGACATCCATAACGGTGCAACTGGAGCCTTGGGTGTCAACCTTAACAAAGAAGAGTTCAAAATATTAAATATATTCTAATAGTCAATGTATTATATACAATTTAAAAATTGCTAATGATTTTATATAGCTTGTGCGATATGTTAATATAAATATGGATCAGACAGTTTCGCAAGATCAAGGAATAACAAAATCTTAATACCCATTAACATTACATATTTGCAAAAGGTCTTGTTTAAATTTATAAAATATAACGTGACGTAAATATATTTTCTGTAAATTATGTTTGACTTCGTTTGGATATCTGGATATTAAAATACCATTATTTAATATCCAGATATATAACGGAATATCAGAAATCCATCCGAGTCACGAACCTACGTTCACATATAATAGGAGTGAAGTTGTGTGAAGTGTTTCGGTTTCATTCTGTGGATTTCCGAAAATCCAAAGCCAAAATAGGTCGATAGCACATCATGTTATACGATATAAGATACTATACGCTGGGGCATTTCACGTACGATCGGGTGAATCCCATGTAAGTCTATCCTCCTCTATCATAAAAAAATAAATTACCTGAAAGACAGATTGTTTGTCCGATTCGCTTCTATTGTTGATATTCAACATTGCCACTTCACCAGCACTAGCCATAGCTAGCGCCCGTCCAGATACCGATGGTAAGAAGTGCAGCAACAAAGGGGGTGATGCCAATGGAAGATTCCAAGAACCACTTTTTTTTAAATGTCTCACATCCCATACTTTAATATATGACTCAGCGACGGCCATATTGCCTCTGCAATTTTTAAATTCATATAAAATAAAATAAAAACTATGACAAAACTCGAATAACCAACAAGTCATATTTCCTTCTCCACAAAGATGTATAAATATAACAATACTAGCTGTGCCCGCGACTTCGTTCGCGTGGAATAGTGACTTGGGGTACATTTTTTAATTATTTAGGCTGTTTATTAATTTATGCAATTGCGCATTCATCGCAGCCGATCTATGCTGTAAGTGCTACTTTGCCGCAACACTCTCACCTCACATTACTCCTACTCTAACTCACACGTTCACTCTCACTCCCACTCGAACTTTTATTGTTCTAGCTTCAAAAACCATGAATGTCCATACTAACTTTCACCCCCCATTTAACGCCTTACAACCCCCTTTTCGCAATAAAAAGCCTATGTCCTTTCTAGGGTCTAGACCATATGTGTACCAAAATTCATTCAAATCCGTTCAGTAGTTTTGGCGTGAAAGAGACAGACATACAGAGTTACTTTTGCATTTATAATATTAGTAAGGATGTATATATAACCCATAAAAGTAATGGCCACTTGGCCAGAATAAATATTATAAAAAAACATAGTATGCATTTGTCAACTAAATATATAACAATGTAAATAAATAATACAAATTGCTTTTAAAATTGGTACCATGTTAATAGTGCACTGCAAAATGCATATTATGTTCTTTCATTATAAAGATCTTTTTACAATAAAAAAAGTTTTATTATTAGCCTTAACACTTACGCTTGTGCAAATCCAGAGGTAATCATTAGGTCGCCCTGAACATCCAAATCTGATAAACAAGCAGTGTGTGCCTTGAATGTGTGCTCCGCTTTAACCGGACTTCGAATGTCCCGTAAAGATATTGTGCCATTTGCACTTCCACAGGCTACTAAATAACCACCTCCACTTCTTAAAACAGCACAGCCGTCTTCTGGTATGGGCTAAAGTTATACAATAGTAAATAGTATTTTGACTAGTAATTATTATACATAAAAGTTTGATAGATTTAGAAACAAATAAATAATTTTGTTTGGATAAAGCACAAGTCTGATCAACGACATGTAAAATCTATTAATTGTAATTCATATTTGTTACTATTGTCATTTAAATGTTTTTAAATAAAATTCAATGCTTACAATTATAGACTCCTTCATCTCCGAGACATCAAAATCAATAAGTTTATCTTGATGTCCCCCCATCAACAACTTAGTCTGACTTGCTTGGAATATACATTGCATGTCTATCATATTTTCAGACCTGTAATAAAAATTCTGTTAAGAAACGTTTATTTTACAGAAGTAGTATAATTCATAACTATTTGTCCATATTGTAAGGTATAATACATATAACTAAGAAGTTGTTTGATGTTCCGTTGAAAAAAAATACACAAGAATCTAATCCCTAACTACCTTACCTTCACTATTTAAAGTGAAAAATGTCTGGTACAGATAAGTAGTTACAAACAGTTAAAAGTCAATGCAATGGAAAATGTTAATTACTGTTACTGTTAATAAACTGAGCAATACTTCTTACGTATGTGTGTGACGAGGAATGCCACGGCGAATTTGATGTCTCAGTTGTGACTTTGATAGTATAAAAAGACCTAAATCTAGAGTTATTATATCTCTTATTTCATCTGTCATATGAACTTGGAATGCAGTATATTTTCTCATTTGTGGACCATAATATGAAGTTACATGCCCCTGAAAAGTAAAACAGTTATTACAACCATGATTAAAAAAATTACATTACACATTTACACAATGTATTATGCAAATATTAAAGGTTTCAGGCTCAGATGTGCACTCAGAGTTCAGAAATATATTTTATTTATTTCTGAACTCTTCTGATCTTCCGAACTTTAGTACTTACACCAGAATTGCCAACCCATATCAGTTCTTCGTATTTGTCAAATGTGACAGCAGACACTGCGAACTCTCCGCTATCATCAAGTACTGTACTTCTAACCTCATAGTCTGCTTCTGGATTTTGCATTATGTAAGATCTATATTCTGGAATGTATTGATCTGTAGTAAAAAAAAAGGAAAACATGATTATGTGAACCCATAGTAATACTTGAATTTAAGCTTTTCTGATTTGTGAAAAATTATAAATGAGTAGTGTAAGATTTTTATAATAAGAACCACATGCTAAAAATGTTTAGTGAAATAAACTTGACTGTAGTAAAATATAACAAAAAAACTTAAATTAGGTGAAAAGTATTTTTAATTATCTGTTAAAAGGATGTTTTTTTATAATATCATAGATATTATTAATTATGTTTGGGAATGTTAGCCTTTATAATCCGTTTTAAGTGTTAATATAGTTAGGTAGTTACCAAAAAATCGGAAAAACTACTTGTTCTTTTTTTTAAGTAGATGTTAAATTAACTTCACCTATATTAATAAGTGTGTTTTGTCGTAACAAAACGTATGTTAATTATATTTTTGAAGTACGATGTAATGCTTAGAGGGGTAGTAAGAATTTTAATGCACTTACCATTCATATCGGCTGGCATATTTATGTTGGTGAAATGATATGCCATTTTTATTATAACTCCTTACATATAAGAATTTGGTATGTATTACATACAGAGCAATAGTAAAATTTATTGGTATAATGAATAAAAATCCTAATAAAAGTTTTGTATTAACCGTTCTATTTATGTTTGTTTCAAAAATATTACGCTAAATTAATGTAAACGGTAAAAATTAATCAATTGTACAATTTACGTTTTCATTTTTACTACATTTTTTAAAGTTTTATATCATGATTGATAGAACGGATACAAGTCCATTTGGAGGCCTGAGCACAGATTATGACCAATAATTATTTCGGTTCCCTTACAGTGCTGCCAGTTATATAATAATATACAATTCGTAAAGAATGCTTGGAATCGATTAAATTGGCAATATTGGCTATTCTTTTCAATAGATATAATAAGTAAAAAGAAAAAAAAATATCAAAAATAAACGTAAAATACAAAAAACGTATGCCAGCATGTAGCTGCACAGGCTATATGTATGTATGCCTGTGCGCCTACTATGTTTTTGCTGGTTGGTACCAGCTATTACAATAACTTAATAAATAAATAAAGACATCAAAACAACACAGATACTTTAGAGCATGTTTAATTTTGCCAATTATGTAGATATTTTTTGATGTTGAAGCAAATGTACATAGCTTAACACAAAATTAATACTCTTTACATATTTTTTCAAATTTACCATGAAATAATTATATCATTTCACATTAGTGGATTATGTAAATGTTATAAATACCATTGTAAATAATCATTAGTATGAAAGAAACTATATTTATAAATAAATAATACTATTATAAAAATTTATAATTGATTTTACACAGATGCAGTAGGTAAAAAGTGTTGGTAGTAGCTTTTTGTAAATTCTGTCATTAAGTCTGGAGTAGCTTCTGGAAGTGTAGTTATAAGCCTTGCTGGGCTACCAGAATACCTTGCAAATGAAGGTACTACTGTCTCTGCAGGTAAAACAGAATTATCTTCAATCATACAACAATCTTTAAGAACACATCTTCTTCCCTGGAAAAAAAAACAACTATTTTCGTAAGGATTCTTATCCTAAATAAAAAGGATAACAATTTAGTATTGCCCATATACTTACTATAACAACATTTTTTCCAATATAGACATAAGACCCAACAACAGCAGCATTAACAACTGTATTTTCTCCAACAAAAACATGGTCACCCATTTGTAATGGAAAGAAAGCTACACTGTAAAAAAATATAACATTTTTCATTTCTAGGCAAAAAATTATTAAACTTGTCTTAATAATTTATTTATAATGCAAAGCTAGGCAATGCATTAAACATTGAAGGAAAGGATATGAATCAAGAAGTTGTACAAACATAAAACTTACCCTTTACTAAATTTTTTGAAAGGTGGACGAAGTACAGAACCTTTGCTTATAATACAAAATCTTCCTGTTTTTACATTTGCTAAGTCTCCTCTTATTATTGCATCGCTTTGAACAATAACTTTGCCATGTAAAACAATGTTTTGAGATCCACACAATACTGTTTGCCTGCTGACTTTGTTTCCTGATGCCTGCAAAATAAGTAAATGAATAATTGTAGAATTTTTCAATCCAAATTAATTATAGCTCAACGAAGATATACTTACTGTTTCGACATATTCAGATTTGTTGTAATAAGTATCTTGAAGCTCCATTTTAAGAAATGATAATAATTAGTATTCCAAAAAAGTACACTTAATGCTTACAATAAATGTTAGGGAGTTCAATCAGGAATATTATAATTAAATGAACATTTCTATTTATACTATCTGTCTTTCTGTAAAAATACACTATTTAAATTAGAATCACTTATTTAATTGAACTAACAATCTTTAAATTATATATAAGCTTTTTCATGAGCGGATGACACTGATGGATCTCAATTTTGACATGTAGAAGTGACACAATATGTTATAGTCTGTGGATGTTAACATTATTTTGTTTTATCTGTCATCTGTGTTGTCTGTCATTACTATCTGTTGTCTACTTCAATTTCCCGCCACTTTAATCGCGTTAAATTTTGAAGAGCTAATATCGACTATCGAGCATAATTGAATTTTTCGTATATGATAGCGCTGTAATCCAAAAAGTTTAATTTCATTATTATTTTTTCAGGATTTCTTATAATTTGTAATATTGTTTGTTTGGTACTTCTTTTCCTATATTATAATAACAGCTAACCGAAAATATGGATAGATATATAATACGAGAAAAAAGAACAAATGCAACTCAACAAGGTTAAGTATATTTTATTTCTTCCATGGAACAAACAAATCTGTTTCAATTAAAGTTATATTCAATTAATTTTTCTAATTTAAAAACGTACATCATTATTTTAATTGATGATAATGTTATTGGAATATGTACAAAAAATACATTTTACTTTTACAAGTCGGCAGATGTTTGAGTAATATTTATAAAAAAATAATACCAAAGTACTGAGACAAGTACGCATGATAAAATCCTCGTTTTCAGAGCACCTCGTGGGAAATCAAATGATTGCGTTTTCACCAACTAGTACAGGGGGAAACAATATTACTATGTAAGTAGCTTCGTATTGAGGTAGACTGATCCACTCTCGCGGGAGATTACTTAATAAATCGACAATTTATAAGTCCTTAGGAAAATCTTGACCATGTTTACTGATTTTTTAAGTTGTGTATCAAATTACAGCGTCAGTCAGAAGTTTTTTATTTGGCTGGCCAAAGTCGCTTGCGCATTGTCTATAAGTTTGCGCTAGATATGTAGTTTTAAAATTGTCAATTATGCATCTATGTAATTTGCCAGGCGATGCCTATGAAGGTATCTGCTTGCAAAAACATGATCTATAATATCTTGAACTTAAACTTGCTTATTCTTTCTTATTTTGTATTTTATTTATCGGCGTAAGTACATTCGTATATATTATTATAATTTCACGGTTATAGGTACAGTCACCCCAATATAGACGGAATGGACCAACATCGCAATATGGGTGGCAATTATCAACCACCACATAACACCAATCAAGTTCCTGCATATGGAAATAACGTACTCTTTATGGTTAAGAAATTACGCGTAAATCTGAAATATTCGTACTGAAATTTCTTTAATAACCTGTTATTTTAGATCCAGCAAGATCCAATGAATATCTCTAGTTACTATCCCAGTACATCAGGCACTAGAACTACTTATGCGGAAAATAACTCCGGTTTGAATTCAACAGGTACTCTATATAGTGTATAGTTAAAGCGAATAGTGCATTATTAAGCACTTCGAAGGTTTAAAACTCGAAAGATATTTATTATTTAAATAAAACTCTTTAACGGTTTAAAACGCGATATACATATGGTCACGGGGAGACTACGGCTGCTGCAAAGCATCCGAAACGTCGGGCCGTAGTTAAAATCATTTTCAAATAAGTTTAGGTAATACATATCGCGTTTTAAATGCGTTAAAGTGTTTTATTTAAATGTGTACTACTCGCGGAAACTACAGACAGTATACTTGTATTTTTTTAGTTTAGTATGACTTTTTAAAACTATATTTCTCAATGATTGAAGGTTTTAGGCATTTTCAATTTGGCAACGTATTAGAAACAAAGTCTTATAATTATATTATTCTGACAGTTTTCGAAAAGGACACAGTATTCGAAAAGATCACACCTACGTTTAAGTATTAATTAGCTAATATTTAGACTGAGTTTTTTTTACTAAATTTCATTTTTAAATTTTTTTATTATATAGTGCCATCATGACGTGCAATAACATGTGAAAAATTATTAACATTTTCAAATATAATAGGTTATTAAACTTTAGCTTTGAAGACAAGTTTTTTTAATTAAAACCGGCCATTTGCGTTGCCAGATAAGCAGATGCAAATACAAACGAATTCAATTCAGAATATAAAATTCGGTTGTGAATATCAAAGTCGCAGTCTCGTCGGTGCACAAAAGTCCGTCAATAAAGCTTATCTACACAGACCTTCCGGTAAGTGATACGCTTTTAAAATATCTGTTCGCCTTCACAACTGGAAAATACCAGCTATTTTCTGATGCATAAATTTCCTCTTTCAATTCGTACTACAAAGTAAGTATTATCTTTTAGTAAGCTTATGGGGGTAGTACCCATTTAAATCAAATAATTTTAACGGTTTAAAACGTGAAATATTAGTTAATTTATTTATTTAGCAGCCATGGTCCGATGGACAGATGCATAGCAACTTATAATATTTCGCGTTTTAAACCGTTAATAATAGTCATGATATTTATAGGGTAACTATAATATTTGTGTCAGTGATATTTCAATTCCCAATATATGTCAAGAGATTTTGTATAATTAGTTACTAGCTGTGTCTCCGTCCGAGTAGAATTTTGGCATTCAAATTTGTGTTTGCAAACCTTCTCGTCATCTTTATAAATTTTAACTGCTATCCGACATTGCTATCGGACGCGTCTCGTCGCTCGCTACCCGTCGTTCTTGCAAGTTAATCTACAAAGATAGATATAGAGTGTCGCGGACATTTTTTAAAATCATTTAAAAGGGACCATTTTCGCAACGTACGTATCGGAAACCCACAGAGGAGAAAATTTACCCACGTTTTTTTTTACATTTCCCGCTGCTTCTTCGCTCCTATTGTCACAGCACAATAATTTATAGCCTATAGCCTACCTCAATAAATAATAATTATTATTAACACAGTTTAGAAGTAAAGTCTGGTACAAAATAAAATTCTTTTAACGCGAAATATGTAACTTATTTTATATTTAACTCAATTAAGGCCTGACGTTTTCGATGCCTTGCAACAATGACAGTTAAAAGTGTTTTATCGAAATATTATGGCAATCTTAATAAAAGTATGGTAAAATTAATTATTACTATAAAATTCAACTGTTCAAATTGTGTAAATAATTATTGGCCAATAAAAGTCGCTGGACCAAGTTACGCCGAGACCAAATATCAACCGCAGCCTAATCAAAGGACTGTTAGGGGTGATACCAGGACTACGTTTCAAAACACACCTAATAATCCAGGTAAGAGACTATAACTCGTCATGTGGGTAGTCTAGATCAACGGGCCATGGGTTCAATTTCCACTAGACCCAACATGGTTTTGAAATCTAATTTTAATTTTCATTAAACATGTTATCTTCGTTATAAAAATCTTGGTAGTAAGTTGAAGGTGGAAATATCGGAATTCTGTCCAGGTTACGAACCACCATCCGATGGCAAAATAAAGTGTGTTTAGTTTAGTCATTACATTGCTGATTGTCCAAAGCCAAAATTGATCGACAATCTATAATTTATAAATGTAATCAAGTAAGCCATGATTTCTCTTCTATTTTAAAACTATAATAATTTGAATATTTACGTCCTCATTACCTTTTTCTTTGTAGTATTATTTCATCGATACAGCATTCACTTTAGTTACAGTATAATTTATTTTACATAGATGAAAATTATAATTATTTATTAGGTAATCGAAGCTGTGCCTTCCGGCCCTTTTCAAACCAATCGTGTATCCTTGTAATGTTAATGCACTTTTTCTTTACTTAGATATATTGCCATCGCCTTTGAAGCCTTCAACTTCAAATGTTGAAATTGTGTCTAAGAGCGAGGAGGCCGTCCAGAAGAAAACTCGCTCCGAAATTCTAAAGGTACTCTTAGACCACAGACATGACCATGTTATTTAATGATTAATATATCTAACAACCTTTCACATAAATTTTATGACTCATTTCATAAGAGAAGTTGGTGGCTGTATCCACAAAAACAACTTCTACTAACCACGGAACGATCATCGTTATTTTCTAAATTTTTATTCTAATTTATTAAGTGACGGTTTAAAACGCGACAACTCGCGTAAACTTTAGACGTCGCAAAAGTAAATATATGATAACATTAGTACTATGGTTTTTTGAGCAGACAAGAAAGACCTGGTGGGATAGACCTTTTTTTTAAACTGTAGGTGTGAATGAATTATGCACGCCTACGTCGGGCAATAGCGACGTTGGGAGTGTGGTGAATCGTACCACCACCTCCTCGGAGACAATACCCGCCCAGAACCACTAAACACACCACTAGCCCGCTACGGTGCTTTGAGGGAACTCTGAGGTGGGGATCGACCTACGACTCGTTACACCCGTACGTCGTCTATTAGGCCAACGACGTCGTCAAATTAGGATATTAATACGCAATTAAGACCTTATATAGGCGGATATTGTAAATTATTTTTATATGACACTTAAATATCCCTGTAAATATAACATGTATTAAATATGAAGGTCTAAGTCGTACCTACGAGACCCAATTAGTTGGTAAACGTGCGTGAAATCTGTTTCAATTTAACTTTATGTGCCATAATTTAAATTTAACGAGAGCACCTTGGAGCATCTTAATTAAATCTTTACGCGCGTTAAAAGATCGTATTATTTAGACGAGCGAAATCACCTAGTCGACATTTTAACACGACTTTTTAGAAGAACACATGGTAAGACATTTATTTACTCTAAATTACAGTAGGTACTCACTTAGGTAAGTGTCACTAGATATATCTGTAATAATGATAAATCCCCAAGAGTAGGTACACTTAATTAAAACGGTAGCCAATCTTGTCGTGGAGCTAATACAATAAATTATAATTTACATCACCTTTAATTGAACAATTTATACGAAATGTTAGATATTGTAAAAATAATTATTTTCACGTGATAGCCGATATTTTAAATGTCAAAATATGTTTAATTTACCTCTAGTTTTTCATTCTGCGAATTACAAAAAATATTCAACATCACAATCGGTAATAAGTACGACATTATTTCATCAGCTTTAAAACTAAAATACAGAGAAAGGGCTCATAACGGATACTTTATTACGACGTAACGTATTTTGTTCGCAAAATCTTAGTTAGCACTTTGTTCCACAGACATAATGAATGTTTCGTGTAAGTATTGTCTGTAGTTTATGTCAGTATTACACATGCAATAAAACACTTAACGGTTTAAAACGCGAATTTATAGCTCAACTTATTTACAATTTTAACTATGGGCCGATGTTTCGGTTGGTTTGCAGCAGCCTCCACTGGGTCACGCGTTTGAAACCGTTAAAAGGGTTTAAATGTTTCGTATAGGTTATATTTATTACATCGTTATTCAGTTTAATGTTATTTAAATGTAGTTTTGAGCGCTGGATATTATATAAAAATATAGGTGTCAATCTTATATGGGTAGGATTTGATGTTAACGTATGTCTTGTTCGTTTGCTAATATTACAAGTTCCCTTTTTCTTCCCTATTACGACCATGATGTAAATGCACTTCAGGCCTTTGTCGGAGAAGTAATAGTGCCTCCCTTGTAAATAAAGGGACTTCATTTCTGAAGGCTGTCAGCTCCGATGCAATATCCGGTCGAGTGCCGTTTTCTCTTTAAATAGCTTTATCGACAATTGTTTTCGCGGCACTATTGCTTTATTAATAAGGTTTTCAGCATAATCAACCATTCTTGAAGTTCAACTCGTGAGAAGAATATTGTCATTGAAGACCGATGCCAAAGTACATCGATGGGACACCTTAATAAAATGTCGTAAGGTTTAAAAATCGAAAATAAATTGGAAAAAAATTCGACTCCGGCAGGACTTGAACCGGCATCGTCAGCGTTCCGTGCTGTTGCTCTACCAATTCACTCGGTAGCTCAATTGGTAGAGCACGGAACGCTGAACGATTTTTAAATTATATAGTGCCTTCATGTGCAATAACATGTAAAAAATAATAAAGTTTTCAAATGTCGTAAGGTTGTCGCATTTTGCATCAAGTGCAAGTCTGCCTGTCCTTGTCTATCATTAAAAATACTAAAATACGTTGGTGATAAATCTTCAATCATAATTTTATTTATTAACTCAAATTCGTTTGCATTATAATATAATAGATATACTGTTATATTCAAAGAGGAATCATTCTTGAATAAATTTTTTTGGTATCTTGAACCGTTTTGGCAGATGATGAATATTTTTACCCGTTTTTTCCTACATTTTCCTCTGTTTTGTGGTTCCACTTGTTTTCCCTCCTTAATCTAATAAAAAATAAGCTATAAAGCTCTAAGTTTTATAGCTTCCTCGATTAATGCTCTAACTAACACAAAAATATTTTTCACTTCGAACCAGTAGTTCCTGAGATTACCGCTTTGAAACAAACAAACTCTTCATATATATTAGTATACATTTTTATTTAAAAGCGATTTATTACTATCTCGTTTATCCCGAATAAAACGATTGGGCTGGGATGTATACAGTTTCAAACGATTGCGGCTATCGAGCAGGAAAACAATTGGCGCGATGTGAGCCCTTAATTACTCGCATCAAATTATGGAAATTAATTGGGACTGCTACAATGGAATATATACTAAATGATTAGATAATATTACATATATTATGTAATCATTATGTACATATACGCTGTATGTACAAAACACTTTAACGGTTAATAACGCAAAATATATTTATTAGGTATTTATTAATTAACTTATTTTTAATTCACATTACCTATGAGCCGTGCAGTTACAAATAAGTTTTTAATATTATATTTCGCGTTTTTAACCGTTCCAAGATTTTATTTTAATGTGTTATGTTTATAAAGTCTGCCCCATGTAAGAGTTGTTTCTAAATAGTAATAAAATGAAAATCATTCACGGATGTCGTTTTTGCACTATTATTTTAATTTTTAAGGTATATAAAATAAAATAAAATACTAAATCAGTATTGAAATAGTAAGTATTCTTAAATACAGTTAAAGAGATTTAAGTAACTTATAATTATTGCATTTCGGATTGTCCGATGGAATCTCCGACAGTGCATCTTAAAAGATGTCTGGGTATTTCATCTTTCATTAAGTGAACGCCAAGTCGTAAAAACCAGTGCTTACAAATAAAGCTGTATTACACAATAGTTATTCTATATATATCTTTTCAGAAAATTTTCAAGTCCGGTCCTAGAGTGTTCTCGGGGCCCGTTGAAAAGGTTCTGAAATGGCACAAGAGTTTGCAGGAGATCGGAGTTCTAGTTCTCTATGAAATTGTTGGTAAAGTAATAACTGACTTACATTTATTTCGCTAGTGGAAAGTTTAGCGTTTCGAAGCGCATAAGTTCATACATAAGAATATAAAGATTTAAAAAACCAATCTGAAACCACAGATTAAGCAAATACCGTGTTTCAATGAATATACATAATAACTTGTCTGTCCATATGTATGTATTTTGTCTTTTATTCTGTATCAAAACATTTGCATTTGGCTAATCTACGTAAGAGGTAATAATATCAAGTCAAATTGAAATCCTCAGCCAAGTGTGTGAACGTAAGACCAACTGAGACTTGTGCCAAGAACTTAGTGGTGAGAGATGAAAATGGGCCAGCTATGCAGGTCGTTTATTACGAAATAGACTTCCTTATGCCCGAAATCAGACCTCCATGCACTGTTCGGTAAGGACAAATTGCTTTATGGGTTAAAGTTGTAGTGACATTTAGCAAATATCATTTCTGGTTCATTTATGCTTCGACGTTGTTTAACTTTACTAAATTCAGGGTATAACATTATAGCCATTTTTATTAAAAACGTTTTTTCTTAAATTGTAAATTAATTAATATGCCAATAGTTTTAAACGCGAAAACTATTGGTTAATCTGATTTTCGAATGCTAAGCAGCAGCCGTGCTCACGTGGTGGCTGATTGTGGAAGGTGACTCTAATGTCAAATTTGCAACACTAGCGCCACCTACGTTTAGAGACTAATTAATTTAGAGAAACACTAGAGCTGAGTCATTATAGAACTGACTGTTTTCTATATAATTTATGAGGCGAAAAAAATATTATACACATAAATAAGATTTATGTAATTTTATAAAGGGCGAAACAATAATTGATGTTTTCTCGAGCAGATGATATATATATTTTTTAATAAACGTACTTCTCTAATATAACTTCTGTTGGGAATATTGCTTACCGATACCATAATATTATTAGATCTTTAGTTCTAATTGTTTCTTGCTACAATTTTGTCTTTAGTAAACTGTGAGGAACGCGTCAAATTTTTTTTGTCTGTTTCTATTAACCACAGATTTTTATGAAGCGAAGATCCATCTGATTGTAACATGTATTTGTAAATCTAATCTGCAGTTAAAATGTAAACAAGTGTCGTCCTCAGACAACTTCTCAATTTAGAAGTGCGCGAGTAGTTTTTGATTCACACATTGTTTTGAGAACTATTTTCGACCAAACTGTCGCCAACGTCCATACCACGTTGAATACACCGGTTCTCGTCCGATCACCGCAGTTAAGCAACGTCGGGCGCGGTCAGTACTTGGATGGGTGACCGCCTGGGAACACCGCGTGATGTAGGCTTTTTTGTTAAGTTACTCATAGTTTAGAATTTTTTAATTTTATATAATATTTTAATAAAATATTTCTAAGGTGCTGACAATACTGAATTGAAAATGTTACAAAGCAATCTTAACTCATTTAAATATAAATGTATAGTTTAAAACAGTAGGTAGTTAACGTTTGTAGATATAAAAAAAGAGTTTAGTTTCGGCTTAATTTCCAATTACTTAAAGGTAGAACAAATCTTAAACAATAATCAACGATGAACATGTTTATTCAATACGAGATGCATTAAGATTTCGCTTTTCGGGCATCAGCATTTGAATTGCCAATTTCCATGCGAAACAGTTTTTAAACTTGGCAAAGCCAGCGTTGGTTAGCGTTTTTCTGGAATTGGCATGTTTCAGCAAATTTACCTCATAACTGCTCTCAAAACGCTCGCTGTGAATTGCACACGTTACAATTGTATGTTTTATTATAAAAATAATATGCATTTGTGCTATACGCGAGGTTCAAAGGAATCTCCTTTAACACTTTGAATAATAAGACTTTATTATTTAAAGTGTTATATTTATTAGAGAAAGCAAAGCAAAAAATACACGAAATGTTTGTTCTTCGCGACATGTTCCAAATTCTATTTTTTGTGACCGAGAAGGACAGATAACCAATGGGGTTAATTTGATGAAAGATAAAAATGTCCCAGCAATATAACATCTTAATAAAATGTGCTGTAACCGTATTTTGGCTTACTATAGTCATACTATCAATTTCATTCCGAATTACCAGACGAAGTCTAACATGTCAAAAATTATAAATAGATTATAAACATGCTGAACCTTGAGGGGATCAAACCTAGGACCTGTTGATTATTAGCAATACATTGCCTTTAGACCAAAACAACGAGTATGTCAAAAACTTCATCCAGAAACATCCAGAATTATTAGTTATATTATATTTTCAACAATTTAATGTTTCTAGGGTAATTGGTAAAATGGTAGCTGGAGCGAACCGTTTGCAAGCGTTCAACGTGCGACTTGCGACCGGCGACGATGTTGCGACTTTACCACGACGCGCCGCTGTCTCAGCGCACCATGTGTATAATTTGTGTGAGGAATATGGATCTTAACTTTAAATTTAATAATTTCTTGTCTTTAAATAAAAATTGCTTCTGCTATACATTGTTATATCTCAAATAACCAGTTACAACCCGCAGGTTAAAGTCGGTAGATCAAAAACTAAGCTATGTCAAAGCAGGCTAAAAGCTAAATTTAGTTAAGCTAGAAATAACTTTTATAGAATAAGCTTCGTCGACGACAGTCAGTGTTGCGAAGTGTAACTAGAATGTTGGCCAAGAATAAGAATGTAATAAAATAAGAAAGCAATGAAGGGCTTGCGAGAAAGGCGGGAAGGGGTTAATTTAGCTCAGTTAGTTTGCATCGCCGTACACAACTAAGTTAGCTTTGCATATTTTAGTTCGAATATTTTGCGTTCTGCTCACAAATAAAGAAAACTGCGTCAGCTACGCGATCTAAGCTAGACTAATTTAGCTTAGCTCTTAGTCTGCCATCGGCCTAAGACTCAACATTTTAGACCCACCCTTGGCAGGATTTAATACCTACCACATTTAGTAACGATTGTGTATTATTGTGGTTGGTGGTAGCACCGAATTCCTAACCCTTTATACGAACTTCCTACTTCAAGGTTACATTTCGCAAAACCCACATTTTTACTTTTATATTACACTTACATATCATATAATAATAATTTTTAAATGACTGAAAAACGTAAATAAGTTTTGCAACTGTAAAATTTCATTTATATATATTTTAAATATTCACATTCAATTAAAATTTCGAAAAAAAGAGCTGAACATTTTCCTCGTCCGAATTAAAACCGGATTAGATCGGAGTGACATGCATTAGGGAACAATACAAACAGTCGCAGGTGCCAATCCGATTTCGCTTGTTAACATAACTGTACTCATGGGATGCATTATTTGCTTAAAACCGTCTACACGTATCCTTTCACTTCATTTGTATTGGACTAGCGGGGTCATGTTTTCACGTTTTTATTATAGAAGCTCTTAAGCAACAAAACAAAAAGTGTGAATACTTCGAATATTCAGTTTTAAATTAGGTAAAATTATGTCTCTTATGAAATCAGCGACTGCTAAATATGACACCTTGGACCCTAGCCAAGTTAACAAATGCGAAGCGCTATTATAGGTCGAAAAGGAAAAATGTTTAAATAAAGTGATGCTAAAGCATTTTTTTCATTATCGATTGGTAATTATATGGTCTCTGCTGTATAGTGGTTGGTGGGATAGCATCCCAAAAAAATCCTGGAAGAGTAAAATACCCTTTTTTTTCTTGAAGAAAACAATTGTCGATAAGTAATTGTAAAGTTTACGTTTGAAAATTTTAATATTTTTCACATATAATTGAACATGATGGCACTATATAAATTAAAAATCGATTAAAAATTAAAAAAAAATATGACACAGGACGGGATTTGAACCGGCATCTACAGCATTCCGCGCTGTTAAACTACCGTGTGGATGCCAATGTTTAAATCTTGTCCATGTCGTAATTTTTTTTTTTCAATAATCGCTTTTTAACTTACCTACGGCCTCTGTTAAATCCCACTTGACTATATGATCTTACTTACTTACTTACTCCGCTGGCACAGCGACCTAAAGTTGGATATAGCATAGGACAAGTTTTAAAGGATCACGTAGGATTGAATCCCAGGTAAATAAAAATATATTTTTATATAACACTGTCTTTCTATTTTTGGACTGCGAGGTAGTAAAATATGTATTTCCCCGATATGGCGGCAGAATCTAGGCCCGGTGTAATTTTAGATACCGAACATTTTACGATCTTAGTGGCTGTAAAATGACGATTCTCATTATATTCATAAGCCCACAGGTGGAAGATATAAATTTTAACAATAGAAATTCAAATGAGAATAGTCCCCTATTCTCGTGTTTGATATTAGGAGATGCTTTATTCGGGACGGCTTATCTATTTAGTGCAAATATCAGCGTTCTACTCTCTCTGCCTTGTGTTATTTTGTAACGTAACTATTAACTTTCGATGACCATACAATTCAACCATCAAGAGACCCACCTACAACAACTTACTATCTTCGATTGTCGTGTATGTGTTGTTGGATCTGGAACCCAGAACCACAAGATAAACGTTACAAAAAAGTGGCCTAACTTTATTAAATTTTATATATCTATCTATACCTTTATCATCTTAGTAGATTTAAGACCCATCCTTCCGTAAACTAACTGTAGGTCCGACATTAATTTGAAAGTTTACTAACTTTACAAAGAAGTCAATCTAAGTTTAGAGATTGTTCGAGGCGAAAATTTTATTCACAACTTTTATTTTTTTCTAGAAAGATATGTAGTTTTTTAGTCAGTGCATCTTATAAGAATTACTCCATAATTGGGTTAAGTGTGGTGTAATTTTATTTAGACATAATATTATTGTTTTTGAAAAGATAATATGTGAAATTATTACATATACACATACCTTTAACATACTGGACACGGCGGGAATGGAATCAAATATAAAAAAAATTTATTTTTTGATATTAATGATTTACCTTCTAGAAATGGACATACCTCGCTAACTAGAAATAGTAAGGTAATAAATGAATACGAATTTTCCCATTTTCGATTACTGAATGCTATAGCGACTTGTAAAAGATTCGCTTAACCTTCAGGATATCATCAAAATGAAGATTTCCCCCGTAATGGAGTATTAACATGCAAATTTTAGATTAATTCTGGTAAAACGGCCAGCTATTAAAAGTTGATATTAAAAGATCAAAGTCCCTCGTTGGGTGCACGTCACTGATGAAATCTTAAACTCGGAAATCTCAATTTCTGTAGCTTCATTGTGTTTTAAGTTTTAACATATTGCCCTGTAGGTACATATTAAGTAACGGGTCGTGGGTTCGAAACTGGGGAAACCATCACTTTAGTCTGTGATTAGACTGTACACTGAATACTGTAGGTACATTCATACTTGCCTGTAAATAAAATTTTTGAAGTTCCTCCCTTTTGCCATAGTTATATCATAAATTAAGCAGTTGTTAGTAGATAACTAAACTCATATAAAAAACGCGTTCTTTTGTAGACTGAGATAGTAGGAAGTCCTCGTACTTATTTTTATCATTTAAATACCAAGAAAAATTAATTAGGTACGCAATTATAATCATCCTTCAATATAAAGACAAATAGCAGAAACGTATAAAAGTCCAGAAACACAGAAATAAGGTTCAAGCTTTTAAAAGCTCCTTTGCTTGTATGATCTCAAGGTGTACCGGAGATATTTTTACAAAAGATGCAGAATACGATCCCTATAACCGAGGAATTCTAAATCTCTTTAAAAGGAACGTGCAACAAAGAAAACTGACTGCAATAATAATGACAAGAATATTTTCTCTTCCTTGAGTGACATATTGCATCTTTCTACAAATTCCCGCTTAGTTGAAATACAGTGAAATTCGAGTGAAATATAGAAGCGGGTTTCTTTATACTTTGTATAATGTAGGATGATAAATTTTACAATTACAATTGGTGGTATATAAAAAAAATGTGAAGATATTGGACTCATAAGCTACCAGATGTTTCGGCTGCTACAAAATGCATAATACGTGAAGCGTATTAATCATTATTCTATTATATTTACATCATTAATATTATAATTCTATACATCAATAATATGCCTCGCGTTATAAACCATTAAATGCATTTTAGCTAAATGTGCACTTGATATTTTTAAATAATAGAAGTGTAAGTACACAAGTTAAGTAGAAGAAATAAAGAAAGAGAAACATTTTAACGGTATAAAACTATTTTAGTTAAACTTATTTACAAATTACTTTTAACTACGGCCCGACGTTTCGGATGCTTTGCAGCAGCCTTCGTCACGGCGGATTAGTATTCGCGTGAATTGTAAAACTGGTCATCCTAGATAAGACAAAGTATAGTAGAAATACAGTGAAATTCGAGCGGAATACAGGTAGTGTTCTTTAGTGGTGAATGCGAGCAAATTGCGCTCTTTTCACGGTCGACCGGCGAATTTTCCCGCTTATATTTCCTTGTTATGTAAAATATGAGATTCATTTTGCTTGTCGCCTATTGTTTGTGTTGACACTGCGAATAAGTATTCGGGAATTGCGCGTTTAAATATAAACCTTTTACGAAAGAATTCGTTCAGAATATTATTAGCAAATTCAGCGCTTAAATCCACGGTAGATTATTTATTTATTTGATTTACATTTTCTTTCTTTCCTTACAGCTAATTACATACTAATACAATGAAAATAACTAAGAAACTAAAAGAGACAATTAAAAGTACCTCTGTAGATTGCGATCATATTATTTATCAATTTTCAAATGATATTATAGATAATGCTAACCTTGCGAACTCATCCTACGTGCAACAAAATAGATCAGTTTTTATTGCCACCTCATTCAATACAGTAATAGCTCTTATCACTTACTTTAACAGATTCGTGTCCACGTACTAGCAGTGTTGCTTTCCTTCGTCGCATATCGCCTCCCGGAACGCTGAGGCACAGCCTTTTTAGTATTTCAGGGTGCTGTAACTTGCCCCGAAGCAAATATGTGGCTATGATTATGATTATGTCAGACATTGTTTCATGGGCTATCAGGCAAAACTACTATGTTATGAAATATGAATATTTTTAAATACTGTCTATAGTTTACGCGAGTAGTACACATTTAAATAAAACACTTTAACGGTTTAAAACGCGATATATTAGTTAAACTTATTTGAAAATGATTTTTAACGAGGAGTCTCCCCGTGACCACGGCTGCTGCAAAGCATCCGAAACGTCGGGCCGAAGTTAAAAATCATTTTCAAATAAGTTTAACTAATATATCGCGTTTTAAACCGTTAAAGTGTTTTATTTAAATATGAATATTTTTGCTAAAAAACCATAGTTTCGTGTTATTTAGGACAACAACAATTATAATTCACGTTGTTTTTAAGAATTATTTGTAATTTTAATCTATATTAGAAAATGACAAAGGTAATATGCAGTACTTAAATATAATTATGTATTTAAATTAAATATTTA